ATCAAAGAATTATTGTTAATTCACTGCAGCCTTTGACATTTATTAAGCAGGACCTGGAACTGTGAATCCTCTGCACATAGAGTTGAGCCATGGTTCCCCTCCTAGTATGGCACCTGAGCAGTAAAGCACAGCTGTCCATGACATTCTCTGAAGCCTACCAGGTATCTAGTCAGGTCGGCTGGTGTCTCCTCTGTCAGTGGAGCTCTTCATGGACTGGAGCCTTTATTTTTAACTTTACAGGAGCATGGATAAAAACAATATTAATGTAACACTAAAAAGGAAGACAAAAGAGTGCACAGGTTTGCATATGTTAATGTGCAGACCCAGATGCAGCTGCAGGAATTTGGATGGAACTATACAGTATCTCCCCACAGCTGGGGAAGACTAGTGAGCAATGGGTCTGCTTATTTTGCTGTCCAGGTATGCACTGTTGATGGGGAATTTCATAGTAAGTAACCAGTAGGTCAGTTTCCTGCTTCTAGAATATTCTGAGCTCTCTCTGCACTGACCCCAATTCTTATTCTTTTCCATTGCATTTATGTCCTGTAGTTCTTCCTCTTGTGAGGAATCCAGAACAGCTTACATAACTCCACTTTACCCTTACAACAACAACCCTATGAGATAAGGTGGGGCTCAGAGTGAGAGTAACTGGCTCAAAATCACCCAGTCAGCTTCAGGCTTCAGTAGGGACTAGAATCTGGATCTCTCAGCTCCCCACACCACACTGCCTCTCTCAATTAGCTGCAGTTCAACAACATCACGTTAGGAGTACTGCTCTGCAGAAAACCGTAATTCAGAAAGGGGAAGGGCAGTTAAAGAATCTGGTCAAGTCGGCAGGGCTGGAACCCAGCTCATATCCCCCCCCTCCACACACCCACAAAACAAAACAAAACCCCCTCCAGGTATCCTTCCCACAAAGAGGCCATACACCCTGAGCTCAGCTTCTCTACCAGCTCCTAAAGCAAACATACAGAATGTGTGTGTCTGTAGAAGTTGCTCAGCTGCCATTCTTATCAGTCTTAGCCAGCATAATCAATGGTGAATGGTGGAGAAAGATGTTGGGAGCTGCAGTGCAACTGCCTCTTCAAAGCCACATATCCCCATCCCTGCCCTAAGCTGACTGACTTGTGAGGCAGGTGTTTCCTCTGTTTAGGCCTGCCTCCATTTCTCTTCCCTTCCTCTGTCTCCATTGTGTCAGTTTTAGACTGTAAGCCTTTCCAGGACAGGGACTTGTCCACTTGTTCTTCATAAAGTGCCATGCCCACAAATCATAAAGTCTAGCAAAAGGAGTGAGTGTTCCACACCAAGATGTGCATAGCGACCCTTCATTCTAAATGGAGGGAGGTACAAAGGGAAGGCCCTCGGACCAGATCTAAGTCTCATCTTTGCTGTCCAAAATAGTCTTGAGTTTGTTGTGAGCCACCCCGAGGCTTTGTTGTGATGGAGGCGGCATAGAAATGTTTTAAATACATAAATAAATATATATATATATTTTATCCAGTTTGATAGCTCTAAAAAGTCAGAAAACTTAGGAAAAGAAAGGGAGTGGAGAAAGAGACAGACAGAGAGAAAGAGCTAACACACAAGCAGACAAGAAAGGAAGAAAATTTGCATGGATGTCCAGGCAAGCCATTATCTCATATAGTGGCCTGGGGCTTTCAAGATGTGCTGGACTGCAGTTCCCATCACTCCTTGGCTGCACTCTAGCTGGGGACAATGGGAGCTGTAATCTGGAGAATATCATATTAAGAAAGGCTGCCAGAAAGTCAATACTTATTCTTCCCCAAAGATTTTAGTATGTTCTGGTAAACAACATTCAGTCTTTGGTGTGCCAAAGTGAGGGATGCATATTTTCCAGTAGACTTTTAAAATGTGCCATTGGTTATCATAGTCTTTTCACTTAGTTCTCTTAAGTCCTTAATGCCTGCGCACACCCCACAACCCAACCCTGCCTGTCCAATGTGTGTGGTACTGCATATGTACTGTATAATAAAAGGTTATTAACAAAATTTGGGTTCTTTTTATTGATTCATTGCAAGGTTCTAGCAATGGCAGTGTAGGTTCATACTGGCTCATAAAGAAAAATGCCATTGTAGAATAATATCTTTCCTGATATATATACATTTACAAACACACATACACACAAACATACAACTCCACCATATGTAGCAGGAACATGAGAGTAGAAAATGGGGTCATTCCAGCAGCCTGGTTGAAAGACTTAATTTTTTCATCTTCCCTCCTCATTCACTTTTCCTTGAGAGTTGTATCTGTTTAAGGCGCAAGCCTCTAGGTAGGCAGTCTTGTTTTACTGATTACATGCAAGCTGCTTCAGGAGTTGTTTTAGCTGAGGAGTGGGATAAAAATACTTCAAATGAATGAATAAATAGCAGTCCACATTTAGCAGTTTCCAGAGCCAACAATTTGAACTAGAAGAGCTTTGCTTTTTATTTTTAAAATGGGCCATAACATCAGAAATAAAATATTTTAAGTGTGCAATCCTATGCATGCTTAGACAGAAAAATGTCCTACAGCTCCCAGCATTTTCCACTTCATATTCTGGCCTCTTTCATCTCCTCCTCTCCACTCACCAAAAGGTTTCCTTTTATCCCTCTGAGTTTGTATGACTGATCTGGTGCGGCAACTGCTGCAGTCCTTTCTGCACTGGTTGTGAGGGGAAAGGCGGATCAGAAAGCCAATTCCCAGATTAAAAATATCCCATGGCCCCTCAGACACCATGTAGGAGCCATAGGTTACTCCCTCCCAGTGCAACCGATGCATGTTGAGATAGAAAAAAATCCTACTATTTTCAGCATGCTGGGAATTGTGGGGCTCTTTGTGTCCAGACATGCATAGGACCATGCCCTCGGTGTATAAGTTTGGGGCTGCTTAAGACTCAGTCAGAGGTAAGAGTATGTCCCATTGATTTCCGAGGGAGAGGGCTAGGATGTGTTGAGCAGGGGGGCAGTCCTACCAAAAGGCAGGGTGAAGCAATGGCCTCAGGCACCAGAGGCCGGGAGATGGCTGTGAAACTTTGAAGGAGAGATCTGAGTGCAATGTGGCCTCCGCTAAGTTAGCCCTCTCCCATCAAGGGCAGGGGCAGGGGCAGAGGCAGGGGAGGCATCAGCGGTGCAGAAAAAATCACCTGCCAGTCCAGTTGGCTTATCTTCATGGCCCAGAAGGAGGCACCATCTTGTTCTTGGTCTCAATCCGCAAAATGGATTGGGCCAGTCCAGGGAGGGCAACAGCAAGAACACACTGCAACTCTATGACCTTGCTGGTAGGTGGTTCAGTGGAAAAGACAAAATGAGCAACAGAAAAGTTGGTTGCAATTCCTAATGCTGAAAGATGTTGAGAATTCTTCCTCTTCAAGGCAAAGCCTACTTTTCTAATGTTCTGCTGGCAGCCATAATTTGGGGTGGAAAAAGGCAGCAGGACTCATTGGCGTGATGCCCTACCACAGTGTCGCATTCATTGTCTATATGCCTCATGCTGAGACCTGTCCTTCCAGTGACACTTGTGGAGTCACATGATCTGCTGCTTGATCTGGGCTCTGTGGTTTGACTCACCTCCTTGAGCGATCTTTTGCCTCTGGTTTGAGTTCTCAGTCCCAATGTTTTCTACAATAGCTCTTAAATACAGAAGTGTATTAAACATATAAATTGAAACGAGAGTTCAGTTCCCTGCCCATACGTTTTTGCCTAGTGACAAAGGTGGCACAGTTGAAGCATATGCTGGCCCAGTGCTTTGCATAGCTGACACTGGTAACAAGCAATGGTACCACTGCAATGGTACCACTGGTAACAAGCATACACAATTGTTGCATAGCTTAGGTCTGCCTTCCCCAAGCTGGTGTGACTCAGATGTGTTGAACTCCAACTCCCATCATTCCCAACCAGTTTTAGCACTACATTCCATCTATGGACTCTGCTGCTTTTACTGGGGCTTTTTCTGGGGTTCAGTCCTGTGCTGTGCTGTGTTCCTGAACCTATAAGGTCAAGGTCCCACACCTTACACTTCTGAACTCCACCTCTGGGTTACGTGCCTCACAACAACCCGGTAAGGTAGGTTGGGCTGAGAGCAACTGGCTTGAAACTTCATGGTTGAATGGGGCACCGCAAGGCTACACTGGCTGTCAGCAGCACTAAAGGATCTGACAGCTCTCTTAAGGTGCAACCCTGTGCATATTTAGATAGAAAAAAAATCTATTCTAAAAATTCTACCTGGCTCGAAAATGTAGGACATTTGAGGGGGGGTGTCTAAGTATGCATAGGATTGAACCCTAAGGGTATATAAAGGAAATAGGAACACAAGCAATGAGCAAACTGGTATTTAATTGGGCAAACGTTTTTAAAACAGCAGCTCATCAGAAATCAAAATACTTCCTTTGATTTAACACTGGATTAAGAAATCCTGGTCGATGTAAGTCTTTTAAATGGACTTTAAAATAAATGTACTATATTGAATACAAAAATAGAATGTTAAAATCTACGTACACACTTGGCTCCCCCCCTTCCCACCAGCCCTCCATGTGTCTTGACAATCTTTACGGATTGTGTTAGTTTGCATGGTAGAAATATCTCCAACGGGAAGCAAAAATGCTTTAATTTTATGTTAACTGGGTTTTCCATTTTTTTCCCTCTTAAGGATAGGGCAAGGGAAAGAAGCGCAGATCTAATGGCCACCATCCACGCTCCCTGTTTTATTGCAATTTACTTCTGATTGCCAGCAGCTGGCAGAGGATGGAACAAGGATCACAAGAACTCTTTCCAGAATTGCCAGGCTAGACAGAGTCAGAACGACAGACTGCACCGAGTATTCCACCTCATACCGCTTTCCTCATCCAGCATGGCAATGCATATAGTGTTATGAAACTGCCAATAGACAGACATGAAGTCTTGCAACGTGGTTATATACGAGCTCTGCTAGCCAATGCTTCTCTGCAGCCCTTGGATCACACAGCGCAAGATTGCAAGCCGCCGTTTCCACTCCTTACTTACATTTTCGCTGCAATCTATGATCCCCGCCCCACCTCCTATCAATTGCCTCAGGGTAGATGGCTGCTCCGCGTATCTTAACCTTCACCTCCCCGACCATCGAAAGGATTCTCCTTAAAGAAGCCTCCGATGGACTATTCGGCGGAACTACATTACCCAGAAAGCAATGCACTGGTCGTAGAAAGGACGTCTGCGCACTGAGACACTCGGATCCAAGTTTGGAGCTTTTAGCTGCCAGACCTGGCCCATCATGTAGGTGCAGCAGAGCCTTCCTTACCATTGCAATAGGGGGGAGCAAAGCCCACTTTGCAATCTGTTTTGCAAGGTGTGCAATTGCAGTTCTTTCCTCTGCAAGGAGATCTGGTCTAGGAAGTAAGAAAAACTCCAGTTGCATGAAGATTGAGCGCTTGCAGTTTGCATCTTTGTTGCAAAACTAGCTACAGAAGAGAGAAGGCAAAGTCTTTTGTGTTCCCCTCCCCCATCAGAGCAGAGGGGAAAATGTCTCAACCGAGAGGTAAGGCTCCGACTTGTGTTTCTTGCAGATATGCAAAAAGTCGTCCATGCATTTTGGAGTTGCATGCATGCAATTTTCGGAATGCAATTGCATTTTGAAGTTTGAGGCTTTGAATAGCTCTCAGTTACATTTCCTGTTTAGTATGTGTTTTTTTCTTTTTGCAGACACACACTCGTGCGCGCACACACGCGCGCGCGCACACACACATGCGCGCGCGCGCATAGTTCCTGTAAGGGAGGGCTTGCTGTTCAGCTGTGCATTGACGTTATTTGCATTCTTCTGCTGGGATTACTGAGCTCTTTTTGCCTTTTGCACAGTCAGGACAGATAAAGGGTGTTGGAGAGCTTATGCATGAGCTGCTGAACATTTTTTTTTTTTTGCAAAAAAAATGAGGCCAGATGCAGATCGATCTGCAGATAATTTACAGTGCAAATATAAATTATTTTTTAAGTCTCTGGAGGAAATGGAAGGTGAAACTTGAGTAGAGTTACTAAGAATTAAATATATGGCTCTGTTTCTATGGGAAAGTATTGTTCTGGTGCCAGTGCTGAGCTCATTTTCCACAGACTCCCCCCGCCCCTCAGTCGCAAGCAGTGTGTGTAGTTTTTCGGACTAGATTGGAGAAAGTTACGCAAGGGTGTATTTTCTTACGGTGGAACAAGGATTTATTGGCTTTTGGCATGTGTGGGGTCAGAGTAGATTTTCAAAGTATTGGAGAGAATTCTGTGTCAATTTAAGGCTATGAATAAATTTCAAGATTGCTAAGCGTGGAAAGCTAGTATTTGTTCCTGAATAAAAAGAAGTGCCGCTTGCAGCGTCCCATTCAAACTTTAGAGAGGAATGGGTAAAGTGGAAACTCGCAGCCACCCCGTGTCCGTGTTTTGAGCTGGGAGGGGGAGCCATGCAATTTTCTGGGATTGTATTTTTGCATTACAAATGCGCACTCCTGCACGATTCCACTTCACTGGCTGAAGTTGCGTGGGTTCGCATTCCGGGTATACTTTTGCAGAATGCAGTTGGGGAAGCCACTTGTAGGAGTTTCTCTATTGACTAAGGGAAAAGGATATCCTTTTTGTGTGTGTCGAGGATGCCTAAGGACAGGGGCAAAACGTAAACGTAGTAAATGTTCAGGGAAGGAGAAATGCTAATTCCAAACCCCTCTCCCCTACCCGCCCTTCTCCCACACAGTCGAATTTAGTGGCAGTTGAATTGCATAATTTATTCCGCACTTGCTGCAGTCCTCTCTTCCAGCCAAATGGAGGAATATTGGAGACTCTCGGCAGCAAAGGTCCAGTCAGTTCTGCCAGCCGAAACGGATGCCTACGCAGAACGTGGCATTCAGTTAGGCTTTCTCATCCAACATTCTGATCTACTTAGCAGCCAAGAGGGAAATCCATCATTTGATACATGGGAGAGGAAAGGGGAGGATTCACCTTATTCACCTTCCCCTCTAAATCCTTGGAAACACTGGTCAGGGCTGGAGCAGAGACCCTGTGAAAAAAGAGATCCTGGCTTGGATTGGGGTTGCCCAAATTAAAGGAAAGGTGCAAACATTTATTCAGGTTAGATTTTGCTTTTACTTTTCATCTACCACCAAACACAAGCTAGTCCCTGTTACTAGACAGCTGGGAAAAGTTTGCTTCAATCAGCCTGAAATACAATTTTTCTTTTCTGACCTCTTTCACCCAGTTTACTTTCAGCTGCTCCATTATATTTAAATGGTAATACAGGACTTTAAAATAAGAGAATTTGGTTATTAAGGGATTGTGGAATGGAAATTATTCAAACTCTGTTTCTAAAAGTGTCAAGAGATCTGTGTTTCAATTAAAAAACAAAGAATATCGTATTAAAACTGCCAATATAAAAAGCCACGTGCTCGGGAGACGATTCTTCTTATTTTCTTTTGTTTACTTAGTGCATCTTTGCACATGGAACTTTACACAGTAACATGAGCAAATTGAAGTTTCCTGCCCCAAGGACCTTACAAGCCAAAGTTAATCAGTGGGAAAGCCAAGGATTGATATGCTAAAACAAACCAGGTCATTATTTCTGCCAAGGATGAGGACGAAGGGATTTTGTGGAATCATGAGCATCTGGGATGCCTTTAGAGATGTGATGTTTTTTAAATAAATAGTAGCAGCGGCAACAAAATAACAAAAACACTCAACAAAGAAGTATAAAAATAATACATATTAAACATGGAAAAATGAACAATATTTACAACATTGAGGGCCCAGCAGTAACAATCAGAGCAGCAAATGAAACAGCTGCTGGCTTAAAGAGGTCTGTCTTAAACCAGGTGTCTAAATGCATTTAATGAATATGCCAGGCCTATTTGCATTGGGAAGTGCAATCCATGGATGGGGGCTTCTACTCTTTTGGGTGGTATAACCCAGAGTGGAGCTGTCTTAGCAGCTGGGCAAGAACATATGGGAGAAGGTTCTCCTGGTTGATTACTGGATCATGCCAGAACTGCTTAGCAGTTGGCATACGGAGTATTTCTGTGTGACCTCTGCCTAGTGGTAATACCAATTTCAGTGGGTGGTTCATTTCTGCTTGTGCCACTCATTGGTTAGATCTGTTGCACATTGATGGTTGCAGATTAGACAGGATAGTCACAACGTTTGCATCCTCTTAACATCACCTGAGTTGGGACTTTCCAGAAGAGTTCACACATTCAGTGGTGCACCATTCAATTCATCAAGTGAGTGATGGCCATCAGTGCTGGCTGCAGGTTTCTGAGGGTTCTTGAGCAAAGCACACTACGTGAATTTGCACAGTGAGTCATGCTGCTTGCCACCATTGTCACCAGCCTGTTGCATCTCACCCTTTTCTTTTCCTTCCAGCATTGGAACCACTTCCTTGACCAGGAAGTGAGCCAGTGACAAAGCAGCAGGCTCAGCCAGAGTGAGAGCCTGTTGAACAAGCAGGACACAAAGAGGGGCAACTCCAGGGGGTTCCTGCAAGTGCCCCCCTGCTGGCATTTGATGCTCCAGAGGTGTCCAGCCTCGTGTGTCTGAACTGTTCCTAAACGTGTTTAGGATTTCAGCTTTTGGCTAGTTTGCACATGTAAACTTTATCTGTATGCTCCCTTTGGACTGGGTTGAGTGCAGGAGTTGTTCAGAAAAGTGAATTGTGTGAATGGGGTCTAAATGGATATCCTGTAGTGACATCCTCTGGCGGAAGACCTTGTAAGCTCTTATGGTGCAGAGGATGCCATGGTGCAAGATGTTTGCCAAGCCTGCTGTCACTGTTGTTACATTGTTAGGTGCTGACTGTCAAGTTGTCTCTTATTAAGGGTGATGTTATGAATGAGTGCCCACCAAAATGGCCTGTTCTTGAAAGGCTTGTTCAGCTTTTGTAAACTCCAGGTTGTAGATCCATCTCATAGTAGGTCTTCCTCTTTGGCCGTTGAATTGCCCTAACTGAACCCTAGTATTATTGTCATGGAAAGAAGCATGTTCCGGGGACCATAGGAAATGTTGGAATCACTCTAGACTGTAGGCACTCCTATGACCTCAGGAGGGGGAATTTGACATGGGACTGTTTGCCCACCCTGATTCCTCAAAGTCACTGCAGAAAGCATCACAGTGAGTGCTCTGTCAAGGTTGCAGCAAGGGAGGTCAAGCTAGATGGGCCCAGAGGTGAGTCTAATGAAACTCTGTATTTTTAAAGAGAGGGCGAAGGCAAAATTGCCTTCATATTAAGCTTTGCCTCGTTCTTCCTGGCAGGGCATAAGACAGGCAGATGGGCTCTGAATTTGGAATCCTTTGCCCAGAGGTGTGAAGGTCTAGAAAAAAAGAAAGGATTTTTCCTCTGCAAGGATTGTCACTGTTTTTCTTTTTTCTAAAAAATTGAGCAGCTTTGCTTTATGAAATGTTCTCTTAGAATTCAAGGCAAGGTGTTTATATATTTCTCCTCCCAAATTAGTTCTAAAAACTGTATAATGAGAATACTTACGTAGGGAAACTAGAACTGTAAAATGTCTAGAAAAAGTTAAGCCACGGGGGAATTTTTAATCCTCTGTGTAAGATTGCCAGAATAATTCTTAAATTCCTTGCCAAAATTGTTGACATAATATTTCTTTTGACTAATAGAAATTTAGGGATGCATCAGCTCGTGGTTAGTTTTCCAGCATGCGAGTAGCATCACTTTATTGTAGTATGGAAGGAAATGTGTGTTCCTGACAGTTTGGATTTTGTTCTATGGAGTCCCATGTTTCTGGGACTAGATGTTGGTTAGATGCTGTATCTAACCAGTTCTACTCTAATGCAGTTCTACTCTGAAGCCTTTATGCAAAGAAAATGCTAGATTATGCTGTAATTGTCACCAGATGCGATGGAGTAGCATGTGGGATTATCTCACCTACATTTCTTTTTCTTTTAATTAACTGTGAGCCTCGGGTCTATAGAACTCACTGCTACAGTTTTTGCTAAAGTTCTGAGTTAGGCCTCACACTAATGCATCCTTTGATGGTGCCTCTTCTATAAAATCTTTTAATTGCAGCTGCTAGAATAACCTCTTTTTACCTAAACAAAACAGGCCAACAAAACCTTCCTCAGTAGCCTGGTTCCTATGGCATAGGCATGGGAGTGATGCTATCGCTAGAGGCAAACTTTCAAAGTTAATGAAAAAAAAAGATGTGCAGTATATAATGGGTTGAGTCTTGCCTGACTAATAACATCTCAATAGGTTTTTATTTGGACCAGATTTCCCTAAGCTCCACACCACAGGAACAAGTTTAGGAATTTTCCTGAAGTTTCTTAGAATGAGAACCAAGGTTATGCAGCAGTCTTCCTTGCCTCCAGTTCTTCCCGCTCCTTTTGGCTTCTAAGATTTATACCTTGCTTTGCTTATAAAATTGTCATATTTAGTATATTACATTTCAAGGCATGAGTTAGACAAGTTTTTCAGTGTATTGATAATTTTATGAGCAAATCAGCTCATACATAGTACAACTGTAGGATCTTATTCATAGTGTGACTTTAGGGCCGTAGAGA